TCTGTTGACATCTGTTCTTCATAGATGCTGCCAGTGCTGAGCAGCAAAAGCCAACTGGTGTGAAACAGGAAGAGGACGATGAGGAAGATGACATTGCAATGGATGTGGAGGAGGAGAAGGACCTGCAGGCAGTTGAAGCCCAGGAGCTTAAACCAGAGAAACTAAATGATAATAAAGCCTCTCAGAAAGGTACAATACACTCATCCACCAAGTGTTTGTTCACACATGCATAATGTCCATGTTGAACATTTGTCTGTTCTCTCTCAGGTCTGGAGTGCGGGGATTTGGAGGCACAGAAACAGGCGGATGAGGAAGACAAGGAGAAGACAGAGACACAGAGGAGCAGTAATGAAGAAGAGATGAAAGAGAGGAGTGACGAGTCCACCATCCACACTGTACCTGAACTACTGATGGACATGCAAAAGGTATGTTGTTTCATGCCTAGTAAAAAAACATTTATTCAGCAAGGACATGTTCAATTGATCAAAAGTGACATTAAAAGAAATATGTAGTGTTACAGAGAATACCTTTCTTTTCCTTTTCACCAAAGAATCCTGAAAAAAAATCTTATCAGTTTACACAAAAATACCAAGCAACACTTATATTATTAGTAAACATAAGAAATACTTCAAATAATCATATGAGAATGATTTCTGAAGGAGTGTGTGGCACTGCAAATTGGAGTGATGCTGAAAATTCAGCTTTGTTATCTCAGGAATAAATTACAGTTTCAAATATATTTAAAAAGTAAATAGTTATTTACGACTAAGTAATAGTATATTTTAAATTGTAATAATACTATTTTTTATGTAAATAAATGCATCCTTAGTGGTCATTAAAGTCTTCTTTTAAAACATTTAAAATAATCTTATCGACCCCAAACCGCTTCCGGGACCACTAATGAAATTGCTCTTATTTTCATTCTGCATATCAATTGTAAAACAATTTTGTGTGTTAAATCAGGCACCACTGAAGAACCCAGAAGAGCTGAGAAAAGAGATGGAGCTGCAGTTGGAGGCCTGGCAGAGACAGACTTTAGGATCCCAACAAGAGGTGACATCATAACACCAGTCACATGACAACTGAGCTTCTTCTCCTCATCTCCCATATCAAAATTTTAATGTTTAAATATTTTTTATTCCTGCCATTTTTTGTTGTTGCTCAGGAGAGTGCAGCAGCAGTGTTGTGGCATCAGTACCAGACCCTGACGTCTCCTCTGTCCCAGGAGCTCTGTGAGCAGCTCCGCCTCGTCCTGGAGCCCACGCAGGCTGCCAAACTCAGGTCGGTCCCTCCACTTCACTGGTCAGGTTTATCAGTTTGTAATAGCTCTGCTCAAAATTTTTTACCATTAACACTGATTAATGATCTCAAACAGGGGAGACTTCCGCACAGGAAAACGGCTGAACATGCGCAAGGTCATTCCTTACATCGCCAGTCAGTTCCGTAAGGATAAGATCTGGCTGAGGAGAACAAAACCCAGCAAGAGAAACTACCAGATCTGCCTGGCTGTGGACGACTCCTCCAGTATGGTGGACAACCACTCCAAACAGGTACAGTGTCCTAAAATTGCTTTAGATATTAAATCTCACCTGCTGAATACATGTGAAGTAGGGCTGTTACAAATATCCGAATTTCACAACATAAACATTATTGCAAAGAATTTTTTTTTTACTATTAACAATATTATCACAATATTTATTGAAATGAAAAAAGTCTTCATATTTAGCTTTGTTTATTTTGTGTTTTTCTTCTCTTTTTTGACCAATGAATCTCACTCAAAATATAAGTGTAGGAAGGTGTTTGCGCACTGCCAGTTACTATGTTTGAGTGTCAACCAGATAGTGCCAACTCAATATTATCATTTGTGTGATATTAACCTGATATCAATGTCATTTTTTCACAGTTGTCTTCATGTATTGTCTGTATATTGAAACACCCCTAATGTGAATCCTTTAAAAAGGAGGGATGTTACCTTTTAATAAACATGTTTGAAAATGTGTCTGTCTCTGTAGCTGGCGTTTGAGTCGGTCTCTGTCATTGTGAACGCTCTCACACTTCTGGAAGTGGGCCAGGTGGCTGTGTGCAGGTGAGTTCAGATTATTTTTCCACAGAGCACAGAAATATTGGTGCAAAGATTTTCTCAAGATTAAATTCCTGGTTGATTAACTCATTCATGCATGTATTCACTCACTCAATTATCCATCTTTTAATTCTCTTGCTGTAGTTTTGGAGAGAGTGTCCAGCTGCTCCATCCTTTCCACCAGCAATTCAATGACCAAACAGGAGCAAAAATACTGCGGCTCTGTCAGTTCCAGCAGAAAAAGACCAGAATAGCTCAAGTAAATAACTTGTCTTTAGTTCTTATGTTTTACATGTATTTATAATTTTTTGTTATATTTTTAAACTGACTTGTCAGGTTTAATCCCACACCAACATAAAAGTAATTAGGAAAAAATGTATTTTTCAGTTTTTAGAGACTTCAACAAATATGTTCATGGCAGCCAAACAGCAGATACCTGGCTCGACAAACATTGGTAAAGTAGTTTACATCAGATTGCTGTAAACAAAGAAGCCCTTAATTCTAGGTCTTATTCATGCACTTGCATCAATTTCTGATCTAAGACACTCTTCTATTTTTGTTTTTTGCCCCTTTCTCTTTACAGAAACGTCTCAGTTACTGCTCGTAGTGTCTGACGGACGGGGTTTGTTCTTGGAGGGGAAAGAGAGAGTCGCAGCTGCAGTTCAGGCCGCTCGCAGCGCAAACATTTTTGTCATATTTGTAGTGCTGGATAATCCAAACTCTAGGGTGAGGGATCCGTTCGGATCAAAAAGATATGTTCACATTGCAGTTTAGCTGAAGTAAAAAAAAATTTTTTTGGCTATTTATGTTTTTACTTCATCTAAATGTATGTAATTAGGAAAAATGAAAAGCACTTTGAAGACATGATCCCCATATTTATTTTAAAAAGTGTTTTTGTTTTTTAATTATTAAAATTATTGTTAGTATAATAAAATAATACAATTAATATACATCCTACATTTTATTGCATGTTAATTAATCCTCGATTCTCTCCATGCTAGGACTCCATATTGGATATTAAAGTGCCCATATTTAAAGGGCCGGGTGAACTGCCAGAGATTCGGTCCTACATGGAGGAATTCCCTTTCCCCTTCTACATTATTTTGCGAAATGTGAACGCCCTCCCAGAGACCCTGAGTGACGCTTTGAGGCAGTGGTTCGAGCTCGTCACCGCCACGGACTTATAATGCACCACATGGAAGCAATTTTGCAGGGGCCAGAGACACAACTGTAAAACTTAAGTTCCGCTGCTGCTAGTCCTTCCCAAACATGAATACACACACACACACACACACAAAAAGACATTAGACAGGCTGCTGTACATGTGCCTTTTTCTTAATTTTGTTATTTTATTGAATTTGTAGTTTGATTGAAGTGGTTTCTCCTTTTCATCGCCGCAATCACTTGGAATAGTTTTCTCTTGTTGTTACCATCAATCAAGTTTGCACATCTTTTTATTGTTTATTGAATTTTTTTATTCGTTTTTGTTTTTTTAACTGCAAGGAAATGTGATGGTTGTGTATGGAAGAACTTCAGTTAGACTGACTGAATATTGACTGAGAGACCTCCAATCCTTGCAGTATTCCCCACCCCTGTTCTTGTCCTGTTTTCATCCAGTTTGTAAATGTGAATGAACAAAATTAGTGTGAACGGCACTGCCAATGTTTGATATCAAAGTACATCTGCATGTCAGTATTCACCCTTCAGACCCGTTTATGGTTATTCAGAAAAAAATGTGCCTTTACAAAAACCCACATTCCCATCTAGACCGTTCTCAATGGAAACTGATGAACTCATCAGCACTGTACATCTAAATGGATTCTGACTACTGAATCACTGGTTATTTCTTCTTTACAACCAGGAGCACAATTTCTGCCAGTAAAGAAAACTTTTTGAAGAATCTTCTAAATTATCTGTGATTTCAACCAACACTGTTCTATATCCTACAGACCTTAGATATTTAATCTCATAGCTGCATCTCTTACTAGACATGTCTAGTTTTAAACATTTAATTTTGAAGTATTTTGATTCAGTTACATTTTGCACACACTTTTCTGCTCGGTCTGTGCATTCGGCATCAGAGAAAGCAGGATCAAAAAACAAATTATTTCATGTACACATTGTCCAAATTCAACAGTAACCTGGTGTGCGTCTTTGGTCTCCCGTCATCTTACTCATCTCGGTTCATGAAATGATAAATTGCTGATAACCGTGGAAATAACAATAAAACATTTTGGACATGTTTTCATTATGGTCTGAATTTTAATTTTATTTTATTATTATTTTTAGTTAGTTAGTTAGTTAGAAAGAACTGTTCATAATAACATTTGAAAGACTAATTCACATAGATTTAGATCTGTGAATAACATAACTTGCAATATACAAAGTGAATCACCTCAAACATGAATTTTGAAGCTGTTGTAAAGACTTTTGAGGTATGAGTGTATATTTTGTTGTGGAAAAACATTCCTAATGGAACCCATATCTTGGCGATACTAATTCTCTTCTGTGTTTGTAGGGCAACTGACTAAACAGTTCTATTTAAAATGTTTATTGTAGCATGGAAAACGAGAGAGAACAACATTTCCTCATACCTTTTAACAATGTTGATGTTTATATGTGTAAGTTTGTATTTTACAGTGGCAATATTGCTGTCTGCATGTGCACAACATTGTAACAATGTTTTATTGCATTATTTTCCACTACTTACATTATTTTTCCTTTTTTTAAAACGTATTTTTATTTTTATATTTTTTATATATTATATATATATATATATGTTTTAATATATTTAGTTTATATTATTGAATATTATATCGCCCTATACACTACTTTTATTTTGAAAAGAGATTCTAGCTCTATTGACTTTTATGTTGAAAAGCAAGACCGCGAGAGTACTTTATACTTTTGCTTCAAGCTTCACAATTTTAAGTGCCCTTCCCAAACAAGTTAAGGGAACTCATGAGTGTGTGGATCCTAAGTTATTTCAAATATAATCGTCGTCCAAAGCCCCACGCTGGAGTTTTGACCCCTAATAATAGTTATATGTTGTGCCTTTTTCAGGATAACTTACTTGTCCTAACGTTATTTAAGAGCCGGATCACTGCACAGGTTTGTTCATGACTAATGTTATACTAATTGCTAAAAGCCTCTTTTGACGTAAACTCATACTGTTAAATGTTTGGCGCATTTTCCTGGTAATAGCGGAAACGTTCATGCATTGTTTTTTCCCCATATTTGTAACATTAGTTGTGTGATTGGCTGATGTCTAACATATTTTGCTTTCATCTTTTTTTAGCATACAAATAGTGCACATGCCAATCTAAACATATGTTAACACTTTATTTTGATGGTCCCTTTTCCAATTTCTGTTGACTAGAAGCACCTTTGCTACTACCCCATTCGAGTATTAGTAACGTTAGGCTGTTTTTGCATCATATTATCTGCTAATGTTAACACTTGCTTCCCCAAAAGACATTCTACTAAGTAACTTTGCGTCTACATGTCAACTTATTCTTAACCTAACCCTACCAGTCTACTAATACTCTCCTAACACTCTAATAAAAGTTAGTTGACGTGCAATGTTACTTGTAGTCAACAGTGTTAAACGGACCATCAAAATAAAGTATAACCAAACCAATCATCATATTTCCATCTTCAGCTGTTCCTCTCGCAGAATGAGTCTGGGGGAGATCAATGAGAATGTGAAGCTGGCTCGAGAATATGCGCTGCTGGGGAACTACAGCTCCGCAGTGGTCTGTTATCAGGGGGTCCTGGAACAGATCAAAAAGTACCTCTACTCAGTCAGAGACTCCTCTCTACAGCAGAAATGGCAGCAGGTTGTAGTTCCTCCAGTCTATGATTCAGGCTATTAATGCTTTCAACTTGTTGTAACTGGCCTTTGTGTTTATGTGTCTCATCAAGGTTTGGCAGGAGATAAATGAAGAGACAAAACAAGTTCGGGAGATCATGGCAACACTTGAGAGCTTCCAGCTGGAGTCGACCCCATCCAAACCCAGCAGCTTTGGCCAGGAGAATGACATCATGCCAGTTCACGTGGAGCACAGGTACCACAACACATCCAAACACTCCTCTGACAGTCATCACAGATCTCACAAACTCGTTTACTCTTTTGTACATATTTTATGCATCAAATAGTTCAAGTTTCAAGTAAGAACTCTGTGTTTGAACATATGTGGTGTTTTGTGTTGTATTTTTGGTCCTCAGACTTTGCAGAGTTTGGTCCAGTTGGGTTTTATTCAGGTACCTGATGGATTGTGCCTAATGAAGGGGTTGAATTTTTGCATGCTCTTGGTTGTCATAAAATGTTAAATTTCAGTGCGTGGACATCTAACTTTTTTTGTTGTTGTTCAACCTTAGCTCAATATGGGTTTCAGATGTGAACACATATTTCACATTTTTTCTGTTTGACTATTCACTTGAGTTCTGAAGATCAAGGGTCTTGAAATCCCTGAGGTCATGGATACCTTGGAAAATAAAACTGAGAGTTTAAAATCTTTTATTTCCAGGCCTGAAAAAAAAAAAAAAATGAATGGGCACTAATAATGACATTTTAAAAGTATCAGAAAGATCATGGAAATATTCATACTGAATATACGTTTTTAATTATAAATATATATATAGATGTAAATAAATAGATTTAATTTGTACTATTTATTTAAATGTATACTTGCATTATTTCTTTTTATACAGTGTTTTTAAATAAATGGAAAGTAAAGGAAATTCATTGCCCACACTCTGTGACACTCCTGTCTTTAGTAGTAGTTGAGTTTTAAAGCCCACATGAGCATTCTTGTTATGTGAGCTAGATTAAGATCTGAATGGCCTCCCACCGTCTCGCAGTCCCTCATACTCTTGCATGCTTCCCTTGAGGCTCTGAAAGGTCTGTTGAGCCTGTTATATAAACCATAATCTGATTATGAAGTAACATTTGAATGAGAGCTTACAGCCCCATTAATTACGGACATTTCATTCCATTCAGCAAAATTTGAATAATATTGTTAAAGGGCCCCTTCAGTCAGCACTGGATGTCCTGATACTATGTGTCTGTGTGCTTGTGAACAGGCAATCTCCATGTGTAGTTCGCAAATCCTCTGGGCCGCACAAAGACGGCAAGGGCCATGGAAACAGATTGAGCGCCGGCCCTCGCGGCCAGCCACGACCCTCACCGCGCGTCACCAATGGGGACAAGGGAAAACCTCAGAGAGGCAAAGAAAAGAAAGAGAACCCGTCCAAGCCAAAAGATGACAAGGTAAGGATCAATTTCCCATCTCTGTCTGCTATTGTGTCTTCAAACTGCTCACATTCACAACATTTACTCAAAGGATCAGATTACACTGTATTAACAATGTTTACCATATTAACCTGAGTTACCAGTTTCTGACATCAAAGTAAACAGATTAGAAAAAAAGAGTTTAAAACATGTAAACATGGCAAGTGTTTCCTTTGTACTCTTGACTATGAGAAACTGAAACAACAATGAACAAAATGTTTACTGTATTTATCTTGCAACTTCATTCGTTTGAAGCTCAGTGTAATGTTTGATTTGTGCCATTTTTCCAAGCCATTTGCAACAGAGTATAATTCAGTGGAAAAGACTGGCAAAGAAATTGTAGTTAAAAAAAGATTTGACAACTTTCTGCTCCCTCCCTGTAGAACAAAGTGGAGAGTGTGGAGACGGAGGTGAAGAGGTTTGACAGAGGAGGAGAAGACAAAGACCTGATTGATGTTCTGGAGAGAGACATCATCTCCCAAAACCCCAATGTCACATGGTGAGTTCTTTCTTCAAAAGTACTTCCATTTCTCATTTATTTTCTCAAATTACCTGTTTTTTAGTCATAAATAATGGTGTTTAATTTTTGTTATAGGGATGACATTGCTGACCTGGAGGAGGCCAAGAAGCTGTTGAAGGAAGCAGTGGTTCTACCCATGTGGATGCCTGAATTCTTTAAAGGAATAAGACGCCCGTGGAAAGTAAGAACCCCTAAAGAAAATCACGTGCGCTTTATGGATTTCACAAAAGTTCCATCCCAAAACTTCTAAATATCAGGCCAATGTCATTGTCATGTTTGTGGTCTGACTTTTTGATGTTTTTGAAAGAAGTTTATTATGCTCACCAAGGCTGCATTTATTTGATCAAAAAGAGTTAAAAAAGCAACACTGTGAATTGAAATATCATTACAAAAATATCTGTTGGCTATTTAAATATATTTTAAAATGTAATTTATTCATGTGATAGCAAAGCTGAATTTTCAGCATCATTACTCCTGTCTTCAGTATCAAATGATCCTTCAGAAATCAATCTAATGCTGATTTGATGCTCAAGAAGAAACACTTCATATTATTATCAGTTGAAAACAGTTGTTCAATTCAATTAAACTTTATTTGAATAGGGCTTTTCACAATACATATTGTTTCAGAGCAGCTTTACAGAAAGTGCATTTCAGAAATGTATATGGAAAAATACATTTACTTAATCATGTAATAATTTAGGGCATAACATATCGCCGGCGTTGAGTCGTCTCTTCACAGGCATTTAGTTGTCTCATCACATGTGTTGGGGCATCTGAATTCTCTGTGAGAGGCTGGATACAAACTAGAGCTGACGAATGCCATTTTTAGCAGAAAAGCAAATGGGGAAATCATTAGCATAGCTGCTGTTCATAATGATTTCCATTACACAAGAGTAGATGTTAAAAACAAGACAGTTTGGCATCCCAGAGTCACCCCCCTACGCCCCCCCACTCAACTCAGCCCATCTTACTGACCTCTACATCCCTCCTGCTCCTGCTGAGACCTAACCGCAATCTCACAATCTCTCCGCAACCGAAACATACGCGCCAACCTGTTTGACTAAGGCTGTTGAGCCCCACTGGTAATATCCACAATATATGCACGTAATAACTGTAAATACTATGCAAACTAAATAAATAGGTACAGACTCTCTCAAGTTTTATAATATTAGATGCATTCGATCTGATTCAACAGTAGTATAAAAGGTAAACATTATGTGAATGCTTGGCTAAAGAGATGCGTCTTTAATCTAGTTTTAAACTGGGACTGCGAGTCAGAGCCTTGAACAATATCAGTAAGGCTATTCCAGAGTTTTGGAGGTTGTGCTTCTTAATAAAAAAAATTGCATTCTCTGATAAATAGAAAGTTTATTTAAAATGGATATGATTTGTTTATTCTTTTGGTTCAAATGAATACGTCCTTGCAGAATAAAAGTAATAATTTCTAAAAAAAAAAAAAAAAAAATCTTACTGACCCCTTTTGAATGGTAGCGTAATTGTTGCTTGGGACCGTATTATTTAACAGCAATGTTACATACTTTCATGTGTTTTTCCATCCTCTTTTGTGGTGATCTTTGCTGCATTTAACACAGTATTTTTCATGAACACAATAACGGAACTTGCATATGATTTTAGGGAGTGTTGATGGTGGGGCCTCCAGGCACAGGAAAGACATTGCTGGCAAAAGCTGTTGCCACTGAATGCCGAACCACATTTTTTAATGTGTCCTCCTCCACCCTCACCTCCAAATACAGAGGAGAGTCTGAAAAACTTGTACGGCTGCTGTTTGAGATGGTAAAATCACAAACTTCCTGTATTATCCCTCATTAATACGTATAAAATGTTAGTCAAACTTGCTTTTTGTTTAATTAGGCTACTGTACATGTTTGTTTGCATGTTTATACAGGCACGATTTTATGCCCCCACCACCATCTTCATCGACGAGATAGACTCCATATGTAGCCGCAGAGGAACCTCAGAAGAACATGAAGCCAGCAGACGTGTCAAAGCTGAACTACTCGTCCAAATGGATGGTATTTGTACATGCAAACTGTAACGGTACAGTTTTGATTGAACAAGAAAAATCAACAAATACCCTTCTTTTGTTATCCAGGTGTTGGAGGGACGTCTGAATATGACCCTTCAAAAATGGTTATGGTTCTTGCAGCCACCAACTTCCCTTGGGACATTGATGAAGCTCTGAGACGGAGACTAGAGAAGAGAATTTATATCCCACTGCCCTCAGGTGCTCAGAATGACCCCGAATTCATCATATTACCTGCCATCAGCTTAATCCATCTCAGCTCAAGACCAATAAATCTAATTGAGTACATTTATTTAAAATCACCTTATGTATTTCCATAGCTAAAGGCAGAGTGGAGTTACTCAAGATTAGTCTGAAGGAGCTTGAGTTGGCCAATGATGTCAACATGGACAAGATCGCTGAGCAGTTGGAGGGGTACTCTGGTGCTGACATCACCAACGTTTGCAGGTGTAGCTATCACTTTATTATGACTTTGAGTTGAGCCTGAAATGATTTTCAATGTATAAAGTGCCACAGTTCTAGAAGTGGTAACATGTTTTTAAATAATTGCAGAGATGCATCCCTGATGGCAATGAGAAGGCGGATTGAGGGTTTGACCCCTGAGGAGATACGGAACTTATCAAAAGATGACATGCACATGCCCACTACAATGGAGGACTTTGAGGCGGCACTGAAGAAAGTTTCCAGGTCTGTATCTGCTGCTGATATAGAGAAATACAAGCAGTGGATAACGGAGTTTGGCTCCTGTTGATTACACCAAAGATTATGCCTTTTTTTTTCACAATCGCTGTTAGCACTTTGAAAGACTGAAGACTAGTTTCATTAAATCTCAGTGCATTTCCATTCTGGACCAGACTAAATTTAAAGAGCTTAGATAAATCTGGCTATAAATGAAGTGTGTTTGTATGACTGTATAGATTAATAGTTTAATATTTATTAGTAATAGGTTGGATTTAACATGTACACGACTTTCAGAGCTGGTTACTTGGATACAGGTTATATTCACTTATGTTAAAATTAATTTGTAAGGATAAAGGCAGAACTAATATCCAGGAAATCCAAATTAGTTTTAGTGCTCTTATTACAAGCTCTATTGTAGTAGTACAGTACTGAGGTTGTGAGCATGTTTTTATTTGCTTGATTTGTCTGTTCCTGTAAAATCACTGCCACTGACCAAAGACCAGCTTCGCTCTCCAAATGCTCCATTAAATGAAGAGTTAATGAATTGCTGCTGTGCCACTATGGTTGATTTAAAGGCCAAAGTTTCCAGAGTTGGACAATTGTCTTAAGCGACCAGTGTCTTAAAGGTGTGTTCAGAGCTTGACTTTTATGAACACTATAGAGAACCAGTTTCTGGTTTATTTCATTAGTAACATTCCATTGACATGATCAATTTGAAAAATTATATATTTTGTTGAATAAATATTTTTTAAATTTGAACAGGATTGTTGTTTTTATTTAAAATAAATCACTGAGATTTAAATTAATTTGTGAAGAATTTACTAAAACTGAAGAAAACAGGTCATAACATGCTTCAGAATGAGACAAATTACAAATTTCATTAACAGCCAATGACAAGGCTACATGAAATGTACATGTCCAGTTGAAATGCTTAAAATGACTGAAACGTTTAACCCCCTGCCCAAACCAAAATGTGTTCATTTAACTCGTCCAGGTCAAAGCTGAAATGTATTGATGCTTAATTTAACTGCAATTTCTCAAGCAACATGAATATTACATTAAGCAACATAGGCAGATTCATACAGCCCACTAAAAACAGTAAGAAACGAGAAAATCCATTTAAATAATATGGAGTTATTAAAATTATCTTGATCATTAATTACATTAATGGATTATTTTTTCCCCATTAGTCATACCCTTCACCTTTTCATGTTATTTCCATTTATCAGGCAAAGGTAATTCACTGTTTTACCGTAAAACAAACAGTTTAGTGGGGGCAAAAGCAGGGACATTTTAGGTACTGTGCTTATTTAAAAGTGTGCACCTTTACCATTCCACCTCACTCCTTATATTCCCCAAGCACAGTGTAGTCAAGAATAAAAAAGTCTGATTATGCTTTCACACAGATGCAGATGTGAAAATAGATTTTTTTTTTTCTGTGCTACACTGAAGTCATTGGTATTGTCAACCAAATAAAGCCACAAAGCCAAACTGAATAGAACACGTCCATCACTTTTCTATCAAAATGCTTTTTTCTGATATTTCTCCCTCCATGTTATCCATTAGATTCTGTTTTTCATCATCTGGCATCAAAGTCTCTGGATTGAGATGAAAGAATCCCCTATGAAAGACAGAAAATAAAAATATTTCATATTAATCATACATGTTATCTAGCAGAATGCATAAAATGCCACTTCTTATTGGTTCTTGAGATGAGATCTAATCCAGATGTGCTCAGGTCTATAGTACCAAATGAAGTGATTGAGTTATAATAATACTCAGTGCTTCAAATCACATCATTCGAATATCACCAATATGGCTGTGCATTTATTATAGGGTCTGTTGAGAGACCCAATACCAGGTTGGTGCAAGTTGTACCTGTGTTCACAGGAGGGGAACAGAAGATCCAGGATCTTAATGATGATGGCGGAGCCTGCAACGCCTACCACCACAACCCACATGATCAAAAAGAAGAGCGGCACTGAATCAGAACAGAAGCGCCGAAGTTTATCCCTCAGCTCCTCAACCCACTGGCACGCCACCTGCCCAAATAACAACAAATGCAACAGGTTTGTGAAAATGACACTTCTGAGAAAGATGAAATTAGAAAAAAAAATTACAGTATATACTATAAATGATGTATCCGTGCACCTCACCATTTCATTGTTATTAATCTGCCCTCATAATATTTAATCAAAATAACTTCCCCTCCCTCTTGCAGGAACATCTCTTTTCTGATGACGTTTATTGGCGCGAGCTTGGGGCAACCTGTCACTCACATGACATCACAGCAATAGCAAACTACAAACATCCAACAATTCAATCAATTCCCGATGGAGAAAGTCAAGTCCTGCCCTAAATTGTTTTCGTTTACCAAGTCACTTCACTCAGATGTTTCATGCCACCTTTAAAGAAGTATCTATACCACAGTTAATATACCCCAAGAGTTTACAGTGGTGGTGCAGAAGCACTTACACTGTAAGAGGATATGGACCCACTTAAAGGAACCCCAAGCAGCACTGAATCGGAAGTCCTTTCCTCTTCCTCTCTGGACTCATACAGTGTTTCAGGGTCCATCCGCAAGGGTGTTTCAGGAAGTTTCCCTGGAGCTGCAATCTCATCCTGGGTGGTCTCTGCATGTTTGAGTAAGTAGTGGCTAGTGGTGTTACGCACTTGGTCTTCAACTGTGAAGAAAACAATACATCGAAATTCTTTCAGTTAAAGCACCACAGCCACTTTTCAGATTACAAAAAAGCATTTTATGCTATATATTCTACCTGTATTATGTATGGATGCATCAGTAACCAAGATGTCATTCTCTTGTGGAATGACGGAGAGCTTGCTTCTTGATAAAGGGTAAATATTGGTGATCTGTGTGATCTTCCCAGAGCTCTGGTTCCACCGGATCTCCACCTCACACACGTCAGGCTGCTGAACCTACAAAATACGACATAAGGTAAGATCACATTCATGTGCACTGCCTCAAGCTGGAGTTTGGTTTCTTTTCATAGCATTAAAGCTGTAATTTTGTTTAAAATTACTCTGTGAAAGCCATATAACAGAGAATTAAATTACGTCAGTCATCATTTTTAAGGTAAGGGTTAACCTTTTCATCTGCCAACTGGATTATCTCCTGACTCAGGAGGAGTAACAGAACCTGCTCTCCAGCATCATTCTGAACATATGATTGATTGATCATCAGCCTCAACTCACTGCTGACCAACACATACGCTGGATTACCAGAGCTCGCGTTATAGCCATCCACTGCAAACACAAAGAACAGTAATAAACATCATCATGGTTACGGTTTCTCTTAAATAGACTTTAAAAACAAGAATACGTTTGATTAATAAATGAGAAAAGATGACAAAGATACATACACAAAAATGCAGGGCATGTCACCCTTGTGACACCTGTAGACTTGAGACGAGCTCCATTAATAAGTGTTTCATTGTCCAAGAAACCTACATTCAAATTAATCTGAAAGAATGAGTAATCATTTTAAATGATCATTCCAGCACAAAACATGTTTATGGATGTGATAAACTATTCCCCAAAATACTTCTTACCTGTACGCTGTACTTTGTCTGGCTATTTTCACTAACCGCTGTGAAATTTAACACGATGGTCTCCTATGAAATAAACAACATATATAATAACAAACGCGTTTGTATACATGGTTCTGACTTGACAGTCTTTTCCTGAAGTTTTCAAAGCTGATGCCCACTGCTTTGGGTAAATAAACCGTGAATATTATATTTACTTAACGTTAAATGTGTCAATGACAGACAAACCATAATTTAAGCATCTTTATAAACCAAATTAGTGTCTTAAAACTGGTCCGTTATTTATTATCGGATAAGCATTTGTGTAGCAGCTAGCTAGTTACACACGATGTGATCCAACAGAAATTACGTCACATTAAACTACCTCAAAATATATGAAATATCACCCACCGTGGTTATTTGTTTCGATCGGATATTGGCCAGAATACACAAGACGATCAGATAAACCATCGTTAAATGTATTTTCCATGTAGACGCCATTTTTTTTATCACGCTAGTTACCAACAATACGTGAATTTAAATACGCGGATGACGCTCTGCGCGTCATGTCGTAATTACCCAGGATGGCTGACGCGAAACAGACGTTCCGAAGCTTTGCGAGATCCCGAAGCAAAAATGATTCGAAACACTGATCCGAAGCGTGATTCAAAACACCCACAGTCACGTGACAAAGGCTAAATGAAGCTTCTAGTGTTTCATCAGGTGGAGTGCTCCGCCGAATCAGGGTTTGATTGATAGGTCGGTCGGGAAGGATCGCGTGAGCAAAGTGCGCACAGAATGCCTATTCTTATAGTCTTGTGCTGTTTTATGAAGGCAAAAACCCATATAATGGTTTCGATTTAAGTTAATTGACAAAATATAACGCTAGACAATGTTAATTTATACTTTTTACATCTCATGTTCGGCAAAAGCCAGGCTCGAACTCGAGCACATTAATCGTTCTTTCAAGAACTATGCGCTCTACGATCTAAGCCACTGCAGTTATTCGTGATAGGCCTGTTTTTGCTATATATATTTTAGTTCATTGGCAAAATATAACGCTAGAGACAATATATATATATATATATATATATATATATATTGTCTCTAGCGTTATATTTTGCCAATGAACTAAAATCGAAACCATTATATGGCTTTTGCCTTCATAAAACAGCACAAGACTTTAAGAATAGGCATTCTGTGTGCACAATATAGACAGATTAATAGAAACAACAGAAGAGAAATTAATATTTTTAAATAAAAATCTATAAGAAAGTGAGACATTGTGGCTTGATTTGTTTTATTAATATTAATTTTTCATGACCAAAATAACATTATGCAATGTGAAGAGACAACAGGTTACAAGCATCATATATTTAAAAAATACAATAATAAAAAAAACACATTGTTGTAAAGGTTGTTTCAGATCAACACCTGCAATTGACCACTAGGTGTCACCATGGAGACGGGTGTCGGATTGCTAGCACATTTGCTTCAACTTTTTCATTGCTTCACAAAGCCTCGATCTGCCCATCACTAATAGACATATACACTAGACCTCACCTTGGATACGGCAGTTCATTAGAACGAATGCGTCAATAGAGCCGCCATCTTGAAACAGGGGAGCCCCTCCACTTTAATGCATCAGCGTCAATGTAACTTAGGTCTAACGCAAATAAAATCACCATAAATCATCATGAATGCGAATTTTCTTGTTTTTTTGGTTTGTTCCAACGGTCAGACATGTATTTATCATTGATTCCAGAAAGAAAAAAAAAATATATATATATATTTTTTTTTTTAAACATTCTTCCTAGTTCAGATTTCATCCGTAAACTTCATACGCTGCACAAAAGTCCGCCACCATCAATGACTTCGAAGTAAAGGCAGAGATAGCAGCGTTACCTAGCTACTTCCTATGACAAGACCCCTGTTCCAAGATGCCGGCGGTTTTGACGCATAGAACCCCCAGGTGAGGTCTAGTGTATATGTCTATGGTAATTACCATATGGTGCGTTCTGTTATAGCCAACGAACCGACTCGGACCTCGGATTTGACGTCACGTCCACACTTCAAGCGTTCTATTTGTTTTGCGCGTCCGAGTCGGGAAAAAAAATGGACGCCACCCGGAAAGCTGTTATAATGGTAGCACTGGCCGAGTACCAGGCACTTACATTAAAAAAAAAAATTATTATGAGTACACCTTATTAAAACGCAGCCATTTGAACTTAAAAATGTTCACTTTATTAATGTTTTTCATGTTAATCTTCTGTTAGCAACGCTAGCAACGTCAGTAATTGCACTCACAACAACCGATTCCCATACCTACAGGGGACGCATGCAATACGAGTGATTATAACCGTCATTTAAAATACCAAAGCGGTTCAAAAACAATGAAAACAATTCATTCTTACAAGTCACAGGGCGCAGCCATCTTGAATTCCGAAACGGAATTCTTGCTCGGTGTCCTCACGGTTGTCCGACGTCCGAGAGGAGAAATCCGAGGAAAGGGGGCGTGTTGCTAGGCAACGTCTGTCGTCCGATTCGGATCTCCGAGACGGATGAATAATAGAACGCACCACTAGATATCCAAAGTAAAGGCCCTATCCACAAGTTTCCGAGGGGCGCTCATGTAAAAAATAAAGTGGGTGAAACTTCCGGTGAGGCGGCAGAAGTAGCATTCCAATGGTATTTTCATTTTGTGTGTTAGTTAGCAAAGAGGCTAGCTGTTTTTCTGAGAATTATTTTACTATTTAAAGACGCAAATCTTTATGAGAGATGTCGTTACGGAGCTCAGGGACAACATGTGCTGTTCGCGGTTGTATAACCGGACTAAACTAATTTAGTGGCTTAAACGTGATTGTTTTGAACATAAGATGAAAGCGAAATCAGAGTGACCCTGCCAACGACTGTAACGTTAGTTTCCATCACATCCCAAAAGACGACAAATCTTCCCGTGTACATTTGTTTAAACTCTTAATATTCTATAAACTCTATCAGCATGTGATTGGCTGTTCGCTACTGATGTTACACCTAAACTCAGGATCAAAGCCTGTGCTGACAGAATACCAAATGTGCCAGTTAATGTATTCAAGTGTTCATTTTAAAATTCATTTATAATTTTGAATAAACTCCAAAGCACAATGACTAAGTGTGTATTTTTTATTTTAATTGTTTGTCAGCTCGCACAACTGTCTGTCACCATATCTTGATGAGTATTGATATTAATAATGTTATTATTACTCCCAATCAACTACTGCGGAGGGTAAAGGTACTGTTGTTTCACCCTTTTTAATTTCGTTGAGGTTGTGTTCCCACATCGTTAGCTAGTTTGGATCGCTATAACTTGAATGACTGTCAACTGTTGAATGAATGAGTGTCAAGCATGTCAAGTCGCGCTTTGTTTACTTCCAACCGGAAGTCACGCCCACTTTTGACGCAAGGCCTCATGGGACGTAGAAAACTTGTGGTAATTCCCATTTGTGGTGCCGCAGAATTGTTTTTAAAGTTAAAAATCGACTGTAGAATTGCACGTTTTAAATCAGTTTTTTTTAAATGTCTCTCCATTAGAATGGACAGTAGGTTTGAAAGCATGTTACTGAAGTCACATTTTCAGTATGCTGATTGAAATTTCTTTTATTTAAAAAATATAAAGTACCGATACATTTTTGAAACTTTTTCATGTGCAGAATATACAGTTCTGAAGTGCTTGAACATATAGCTGATGAAAATATCTCAGATGTTGACTTTAGGTGGAGTAATGAGGAAGATGGAGATGTAAGAAAAATATCCATATTTAAAACTTTATAAACTAAAATAACTTACGGCCAAAAGAACATATGGATTTGACTTAATGTAGCCTGGCTGCGCCCTCCTACGCACTTCCGCTCAATTTCATTTTACTTCAGTACTACGTCTGGGATCGCTCCATATCCTTAGGTTTCCAGAAATCAATTTTTTGTAGGACCAATCAGCGAATAGAGGGAGTGGCTGAGAAAGATGACGTTGATGTAAGCGCGTCAGTTTGAGTTCAGTAATGGCAGCGAAGAAAGACGTGAGAAAAGCTATTCGGTCCGTTGTTGGAAAAGACACTGCCGAATATACAGAATTTAAAGCCGGATTGTTATCGTCTCACCTCTTGTTGCACAACTGAGGACCAAGTGAAGGAGGCAGAAAGGTTGGAGGTTTGTGCTGGGCAGCTCGTGCACGATGACCGTGACATTTTGGACGGACGGTTTAGCCTGGTGTTCGGAAGCCCCGAGTCCTGGCTGCTAAACTATTGTTGAAGATCCGCTCAGGAGTCATCCCAGATAGCAAACTGACATTGAATCAACGTGGAAATATGACATTGAAACAACGTTGATCTGACATTGTTTTGCTCATCGAATTAACGTTGAACCAACGTCAGACGCGTCATTCTTTCAAAAATCAACTTGAAATCAACGCGTTGTTTCAACGTTATGAAAGCAAACCAATTTTCGATTTTCATTTAGCTTTGAAGAATGCCGCGTCTGACGTTGGTTCAACGTTAATTCGATGAGCAAAATCAACGTTGTTTCAATGTCATGAGAGACGTCGTTTCCACGTTGATTCAATGTCAGTTTGCTGTCTGGGATGTCAGTCTCTCATATTCCCAACTGTATATTTACTGATTCTTGTGATGAATAGAACATTTTGAGCCCCTTCTCGTGCAGGAGGTTGGTGTGTCAGTTTTACATGTTGGAAATCATACAAATTGGTTGTGATTTTTTAAAAATAATTGTCATAAATAAAAATGTGAAAAACCATACTTTGAAGATATTTGATTTCAGTTTTAGATGGCAATGGTTGATTTGTTTTACTAAAAAAAACTAAATGCCACATACAAATGTACAAACACATACTTTGAAGACCATAATTAAGGTAATTAAGAAACAATAAGACGTAATATGAAAAAATGTTGTTTATTACACATCTGCAGATAGAGACAAGACTGATCGTTCACTGTAGCTGCTGCTACAGCATTTGCGGCAGATCAGAAAACGACCACAGCGGCGTATTTGTAATGATTAGACACAGCTTCCACCGTTGAATGAATATATCACTGTTCTTAGTGTCAAATATACATTTTGAATTAATAATTGTTCCTAGATTAACAAAATCTGCGGCGCTCATTGAAATCCTATTGTAAACATAATCCTCTGATCATTCGGACTTGTTGTTTCCAGCCATTTCGGCGAGTGACATACATCACTCACGACACCCCGTTAGCGATTGGCTATGGCAGATCGAGAGTGACTTTGGGCAGATCCAATAGATTTGAACTTTAATAGTGAACCCGCCTACAAGGAAGGAAACGTTTCTCAATGGAGCGGTTCCAGATTCTATGTGGAAATGAAATGAACTAGAGTCTGTTTGAACCAGGCTAAGTCTCATGGCCCTCTATCAGAATCCAGAGTTTTGGGAAGATTGGAGAAACTTAATTTTTCGCCTGAAAAAAAAAAACGTAAGGGGTACCACTGTCGTTTTTTTTTTTCGGGCCGAATTTTTGAGTTTCGATATCTCAGCTCTGGAAGGGGCTAGAGCCTCCATTTTTGCACTCAGGTCTAAGTCTCATTGCCCTCTATCAGAATCCAGAGTTTTGGGAAGATTGGAGAAACTTAATTTTTCCCCCGAAAAAAAAAAACAAAACGTAAGGGGTACCACTGTCGTTTTTTTTTCGGGCCGAATTTTTGAGTTTCGATATCTCAGCTCTAGAAGGGGCTAGAGCCTCCATTTTTGCACTCAGGTGTAAGTCTCATGGCCCTCTATCAGAATCCAGAGTTTTG